GAAGCACAACTGAATCATTCAACCATTTCAGTATATTATCATGTATTTAAAATTATAAATTCAACAATCAATTAAACATACAAATAAAGAACTAACTAGTTCCGCCTCCATTAGTAACCTATAATTATTCTCAAAATTTTCTAAATTACACAAAATATCATATTATCGATTATTAAGCTTCAATTCCATAACAGAAAATAAGGTGAAAGATTTTTACTCGAATCAGTGTCCAAAATACCGAACTTCCTGCTGTACCTACTGGTGGCCCTCGAGTTTTCTAAATTTTTCTATGGATATTAAAACACACTTTATGTACCTAAAAATACCCCAAAAACTCAAAATCGATATTAAAAACTTTTTCTGACCAAATTCGAGATTCTGGCCACCGTGCTCCGACGACAGCACAGCCGCCCGTGGCGGCAGTTTGCCTTGATTTTTTTCGGTCAGTTTTGGCCGGTTTTAAATCCATTACTGCGAGAAAACACGTTAGGGGATCTCGGTTAGCCAAAAAAAGTCAAAACAACAAAAACCTACCAGTGGTGAGATTTTTTGGTGCGGTAGCTCCGTCGGTTCACCTTCCCAGTTAGGTGTTTTTCTTCTGTTAATCTGTAGAAAACAAAACGGTAAATATAATGGTAGAAAAATTGCACAAAACGAGAAACGAGAAGGGGTTCACCGAAGACCATCCGATAATATTTAAAGAGGGAATGAATTTGTCCCATTAATCGCATTTAATCACGATCGTCCGATCGTGCGTGGAAACGCTTCCGATCGCGGGACATGAATCGCCAGTGTGGCCTCCCGTGTGGCATCGAGTCAGTGTGCCTTACCACGCAGTATGTTTCGGTTCATCGAAGTTGCTGACTGGGCAGTTCTACGTGACGTAATTTTTTTTAATTACGTTATGATCCCTAATTTTCGATTTTTATTTTAAAAATACATTTCGAACCTAAATTTTTATACATTTTTCTCAAAATTATTTTCAATTTCGTTCTCAATCTATTTTTTTTTTTCATAATTTTACATTAAATTAAATTTTATTAATTTTAAAACTAGATTTTTATAATTTTTTTTAAATTTTAAAATTAATAACATACTAAATTCCGGACCAGAAGTAATAAAATAATTTCAGCCAACACCTTTCTTGTAATTACTTATGGAGAAAGGAATATTTACTCTTTTGCTTGTAATATTTGAAGCACTTCCAGCATTAGTTACTGGTGCCCGCAAAGCAGATAAGTACCTGATGAGTAGTGGCCACTGGGACTGAAAACTGCACTACAAAAATTATATACACACATATATATATATATATATATATATATATTTTTTTTTTATATGTTTTTTTAAATATTATTTTGTTGGGTTTTTGCTATTTTTTAATTATTTTTTGCAAAAATTAAAGCGATAAGTAAAATTAACAAAATTAATTAAATTGAATCTCCTTCAATTTACAAAAATATGCAGTTTTAGTAATATGTGAAATTGAATACCTGAAGAGAATGTTTTTCTCTGTATGGATTGACTGCATTGATAAAGTTATTAGTTAGATAATAATTATAATTATAATTATAATTAACATCATATCAGTTAAAACTGGTGGGTTATTTTGATTCAGAATATTTTATTTTTATTCAATTTTTATATTTTAATTATGTCAATTATCATAATTTATACATTCAATATATAATTATATAAATTTTATTAATATATTTAGTTCTACAATGATAAAAATATCTTTTCACATGGTAGTTACTAAAGAAATTAAAAAAAAAAAAATCTAATTCGAATTAGGTATTGAAACAGATGTTATTTTTGTTCAAAATTCTATAAAGCTTATACTATATTCTTATATTTCTATAATGTAAAATTAAAGTATTTGAACAAAACTCTAACTTAAATAGAACACAATGTACCATCACTTCCATTCAAGCTCCTTGGTGAATAACGAATATGATGATGATTATCAGTGTATATATATAGGTTTCATGTTTATATGGTTTACATAATCATGTACGGGTGTACTTTAGGCAGTGTTTGGCGTTAGATGAATTCAAGCCAGTCCAATCATGTTGCAACCCATCAATGATTCCAACTATGAAGGGAAGCATAAAAATACAAGAGAGAAAGACATGGGAAAGCATGGGAGAGGAAACTTGGCATCAAAACCAAATTTCACCTGATGGGTCCATTCTGGGAACCAAAGTTTTTCCCTCCCAAAACGAAATCAAGGATAATACAATCACACAAATATGGGAATAAGCCGTACAGCTCAGA